TCATCTCCCAGAATTCCCTGCTAGGAATTCTGGGAGATGAAATTCACGTATCTTGAAGTTGTCAAGGTGGACAAACCATCTTCTTCTTGTCCAAACCAGAGGAAAACCAGCGTCATAAAATAAGGAGCAAAGGTCAGATTGATTCCCGGGGGCAAAGATCAGTTCCAATCTCCACATATTTTGCAACTAAAAGATTTAAGAAAGGTGGAGAGGGAGAGGGGGGGAGGGAGAGAAGCTTGGCTACCTTCAAGCTTGAAAAAATATCCGATTTTAGAAGACTTTCCAAGAAAAGCTGCAAATATTCTCCCAAAAGTGATTCTCCAAAAGGCAATCTGGACTTTTCTTGGGTTTTTTCCCCCCTTGTCCTTGAAAACATTTCGCTTCTCATTCTAGCAGCTTCTTCAGTTCTGAGACAAAAATCCCCCTTGAGGCAGAAAGAGAACCTCCATGGCAGGAAGCAGTCTATAGGTAGTCCTCGACTTATGACCGCAATTGAGCCCCAAATTATTGTGGCTCAGTGAGACATTTGTCAAGGGAGTTGGGTTCCCCCGATGTTACGACCATACTTCCTCCATTCACTTTGCTGGTCACAAAAGGGGAATCACGTGACCTTGGGACACTACGACCGTCATAAATATGAGTCAGTCACCAAGCGTCTGAATGTTAATCATGTGAATGGTGCAACAGTCGTAAGTGTGGGGAACGGTCATAAGTCACATTTCTCAGTGCCGTTGCAGCTTCAAACGGTCGCTAAATGAGCTGTTATAAGTCGAGGACTACCTATATCAGTCGGAGGAAGGATGGAGGCTGCCTTCATATGGGTTCCTGAGGAAAGAGCATGCATCAGGCAAATCCTAAATGTTTGGGACGGCAGCTCTCCCATCATCCTTTCCCGGCTGGGGCTGATGGGTGCTGGAGTGAAGGACCTTTGGAAAGCACCCAGGGCTCTTCTAACCTTCTCGGAAGCTCTCCCAAAACAGGCTGAAGACCAAAGGAGGCCCACTGCAGGGCTCGTCCCCTCGCTGGCATGGCGGGGACTACAAGTCCCATCATCCCCTACAGAGGGGCAAACTGGGGAGGGGGGGTCGGTCGCAGGGTGGGCGGGGCGGATTCCAACGCCGCGGAAGGTAAACTCGGGGTGCACTTTGACCAAGAAGGGAAGGGAGCCCCTCCCCCACACCTCTTCCAAGGGAGGCCGCTCGGCTCAGGATGATGGGTGATGTAGTCCTCCGCTTGGCAAAGGTCGGTTCTGGTGCCCTGCAGGAGGGGAAGCCGTGGGATGGAAGGCGAGGAGGGCAAAGGGGGGGGGTGGAACAGGGGTTCCTCAGAGGGGGGAACAGCCACATGGGTCCCAGAACACAAAGGGGAAACTGAGGCACGGTGTAGGGGGGGGGGAATTAGGGGAGGGGGCGTCCCCAAGTTCAAAATAGAACGAAGCAGGAATAGAACAGAGGCTATTAAGGAAGGAAACCCGCTCGGGGGGGCGACCCCCACCCAGAAACACGTCGCCCCCCACCTCAAAGGAAAAAAACCCCGAGTGAGTCCCGCTTCTAACCTCCTGGGCGCCTCCGCCGCCGCCATCTTGGATTCTGCCGGAACCCGCCCCCCTTTCCGCCGAGGCTAAGCCCCTCCTCCCCGCATGCCGACCTCCCATTGGCCTCCTCCACCGGGCCCGCCCTCGCGATCCGCCAATCGTCAGAGACGACGACACGCGCTGTTCAGGATGGCGCTTCCCATGTTCGACGTTAGAGGGGGGGGTGCTGGACGTCTACATTCTTTAGAAGAAATAGGGGGAGTTTGGGAAGAGCAGAGCGGCCCAAGGGCCTGCGGGGAGAGCGAAAGGCCACCCCTCCCATCATCCCCTGCTGGCTGAGGATGATGGGGTGGGTTGGCAGACCAGGTGCATGGAAACAGAAGGGTGGTTTTTTTTTTGCAATGCCCATCTTTGGCTTGGTTTTTGCTCATATTTTTTTATTATTATTATTAAAATTTTGCAGCACAATAAAAGTATTTTTTTTCTAAAAAGAAATAAGAACAAAGTTAGGAAATAAGGGATAAGGGGGGGGGGACCACGAAATTCTGACTTCCTCTCTTCTATTGGGTCACCGGCATCTTTATCTTTTTCCTTCTGTTTTTTTAACCTCTCTTTTTTAAAAAAAAAAATCTCCCAAATCTATAAATCATCATTTTCATTTTTTTATACTCAAAGTCCATCGGCAGAGAAAGGGAATTAAATATTTTCCCACTGTTCCAATTAGGAAGGGAATGCAAAGAGCTGTGAGTTCCTGCTTTTATTGATTGATTGTGCTCGGAATCAACTGAAGGAAGAAGATGGGGAAATCAATGTCCCTCCAGCTTCGCCTGTCACTCAATGCCCAGCAGTGCTGATGTGGCTATATTTACCGACTGTCATAAACACTCTTGCGAAGGACTTCCTTGTTAAAAAT